AATACAAATATCTATCTGAATATCCATCCATACACCCATCCAAATATCTATCTAAACATCCATCCAACCATCAAATTATCTATCTAAATATCTATCCATCCACCATTCATTTATCTATTTGAATTTCCATCCATCCCCCCCATCCAGCCATACAAATATATACCTGAATATCCATCCACCCTATCCTAACTCTTTCATACAAAAATCAATCCGAAAAAAATCATCCTTGTTTCTGTCTGAATATCTTTCTATTCATTCATCCATCCATCCATCCATCCATCCATCCTTACTTCCTTCCTTCCTTCCTTCCATCTATCAATCAATCCTTCTTTCCTTCCATCCATGAAAATTCATCCATGTGTCTGAATATTTTTCCATCCATCCATCCATCCATCCATCCATCCATCCATCCATCCATCCATCCATCCTTCCTTCCTTCCTTCCTTGCATCCATGAAAATTCATCCATGTGTCTGAATATCTTTCCATCCATCCATCATTCCTTCCGTCCATCCATCAATCCTTCCTTCCTTTCTTCCATTCATGAAAATTCATCCATGTGTCTGAATATCTTAAAATCCATCCATCCATCCATCCATCCATCCATCCATCCATCCATCCATCCATCCTTCCTTCCTTCCTTCCTTCCTTTCTTCCTTCCTTCCTTCTTTCCTTCCATCCATGAAAATTCATCCATGTGTCTGAATATCTTTCAATCCATCCATCCATCCAACCATCCTTTTCTTCCTTCCTTCCTTCCTTCCATCCATCCATGAAAATTCATCCATGTGTCTGAATATCTTTCCATCCATCCATCCAACCATCCATCCTTCCTTCCTTTCTTCCTTCCTTCCTTCCTTACTTCTTTCCTTTCTTCCTTACTTCTTTCCTTCCATCCATGAAAATTCATCCATGTGTCTGAATATCTTTCAATCCATCCATTCATCCATCCATCCATCCATCCATCCATCCATCCATCCTTCCTTCCTTCCTTCCTTCCTTCCTTCCTTTCATCCATGAAAATTCATCCATGTGTCTGAATATCTTTCAATCCATCCATCCATCCATCCATCCATCCATCCATCCATCCATCCATCCTTCCTTCCTTCCTTCCTTCCTTCCTTCCTTCCTTCCTTCCATCCTTCCTTCATTCCATGAAAATTCATCCATGTTTCTTAATATCTTTCCATCCATCCAACCATCCATCCATCCATCCATCCATCCATCCATCCATCCATGAAAACTCATCCGTGTGTCTGAATATCCATCCATTCATCCATCCATCCATCCATCCATCCTTCCTTCCTTCCTTCCTTCCTTCCTTCCTTCCTTCCTTCCTTCCTTCCATCCTTCCTTCATTCCATGAAAATTCATCCATGTTTCTTAATATCTTTCCATCCATCCAACCATCCATCCATCCATCCATCCATCCATGAAAACTCATCCGTGTGTCTGAATATCCATCCATCCATCCATCCATCCATCCATCCATCCATGAAAACTCATCCGTGTGTCTGAATATGTGTCCGTTCATTCAACCATCCATCCATCCATCCATCCATCCATCCATCCATCCATCCAATCATCCAATCATCCATCCATCCATCCATCCATCCATACATGCATTGATACGTTTATTGATATGTCTTTACATAAGCTCAAATAAAAAATCGTTTCATCAAATGTGTCACAAGACATGTGATTTGACTTCCTAGTAAGGAAATTGGGAGG